GGTGCTGTGAGGCAGCAGTGCTAAGCACTGACCTACCGTGCTGCCCAAATACAAACAAAATGCAGCAAAAACAGAAGCTGCTGGAAAAGCTCAGCAGATCTGGCAGCATCTGTGAAGAGAAGTCAGAGTTAACGTTTTGGGTTCAGTGGCCCTTGTTTGGAACTGGATCCAAATGGCTAGTTCTCCCTGTATTCCATGTGATCTAACCTTGCTAACCAGAATACCATGTGAAACCTTGTTGAAAGCCTTACTTAAGTCCATATAGATCACGTCCATTGCTCTGCCTTCATCAATCCTCTTCGTTACTTCAAGACAATCAAGTGAGGGAGACACGATTTCCCACACGCAAAGCCACATTGACTATCCCTAATCAGTCTTTGCCTTTCCAAATACATGTAATTCCTGTCCCTCAGGATCTCCTCCAACAACTTGCCCACCACTGATGTCAGGCTGACCAGTCTATAGTTTTCTGGCTTTTCTTTGCTGCCTTTCTTAAATAGTGGCACCAAGTTAGCCAACCTCCAGTCTTCCAGCACCTCACCTGTGACTATCGATGATACGCATGTCTCAGCAAAGGACCCAGCAATCATTTCCCTAGCTTCCCACAGAGGTCTAGGATACATCTGATCAGGTCCTGGGTATTTATCCACCTTAATGCATTTTAAGATTTCCGGCGCAACCTTCTCTATAATATGGACATTTTTCAGGAAGCAGCTGTTTATTTCTCCAAGTTCTCTATCTTCCATATCCTTTTCCACAATAAGCACTGATGCAAAATACTTGTTTATTATCTACCCCATCTCCTGCGGTTCCACACGTAGGTGGCCTTGCTGATCTTTAAGGGGCCCCATTCGCTCCCTCGTACCCTTTTATCCTTAATGTATTTGTCGAATCCCTTTGGATTCTCCTTAATCCTATTTGCCAAAGCTATCTCACATCCCCTTTTAACCCCCGTCCTGATTTCCCTCTTAAGTGTACTCTTATTGCCTTTATCATCTTCTGGGGATTCACGTAATCCTTGCTGTCTATACGTGACATATGCTTCCTTCTTTTCCTTGAACAAAACCTCAATTTTTCTAGTCATCCACCCTACACCGATCAGTATTACCATTCACCCTGACAGGAAAATATTGTCTCTGAATTCTTGTTATTTTGTTTTTGAAGGCTTCCAACTTTTCAGCCACCCTTTATCTGCAAATATCTGCCCCAATCAACTTTTGAAAGTTTTCACCTAATATCATCAAAATTGACCTTCTACCAATTTAGAACTTTAACTTTTAGATCAGGTCCAGCCTTTCCATCACTATTTTAAAACTAATAAAAATATGATCACTGACTCCAAAGTGCCTGCCTTATTTCCCAGTGTGGGTGAAGTTTAGCTCCTCCTCTGAATTCTGAATCAGAAGATTTTCTTGTACACACTTAACAAATTCCTGTCCATCCAACCCCTAAAACACTATGCAATCTCAATCTATGTTTGGAAAGTTAAAGTCCCCTACTATTACCACCCTGTTATTCTTATAGGTAACTGAGATCTCCTTACAAATTTGCTGCTCAATTTCCTGCTGACTACTGGAGCGGGGTTTATAGTATAATCCCAAAAAGGTGATCATCCCTTTCTTATTTCTCAGTTCCACCGAAATAACTTCACTGGACGTACTCCCAGGAATATCCACCCCAAGTACAGCCATAATATTATCCTGAATCAATCAGCACTCCCCCTCGTCTCTTGTCCCCCTTTCTATCCTTCCTATAAGCATCTGTACCCTGGAATATTAAGTTGCCAGTCCTGTCAATCCTGAGCCACGTCTCTGTAATCGCTATGATATCCCAGTCCCATGTTCCCAACCATGCCCTCAGTTCGTCTACCACACCTGTTAGGCCTCTTGCATTAAAATAAATGCATTTAAATTTATCAGTCCTACCTTGGTCTCTGCTTTGTTCCTGTCTACCTTCACTGTTTGACTTGCTCCATTCCTCTTCTGTGCCAGTCTCAGACTGATCTGTTCCTGGGTCTCCACCCCCTTACTGGTTTAAGTCCTCCCCAGCAGCTCTAGCAAATCTCCCTGCAAATATATCAGTCCCCTTCCAATTTAAGTACAATCTGTCCTCTTTACATAGGCCACTTCTACCCCAGAAGAGATTGCAATGATCCAAAGATGTGAATCTTTCTCCCCTGCACCAGCTCCTTAGCCATGCATTCGTCTACTCTAACCTCCTATTTCTACTCTCACAAGCTCGTGGCCCGGGAGTATTCCACATATTAATACCCTCGAGGACCTACTTCATAAATTCCTGCCTAATTTCCTATATTCTCTCTTCAGAACCTAGTCCTTTTCTCTTCCTATGTCATTAGGTCAATGTTTACGATGACCTCCTGCTGGTCCCTGTCCCCTTTTAGAATATTCTGCACTGTCTCAGAGATATCCTTGATCCTGACGCCAGGGAGGCAACACACCATTCTGGCGTTCTGAGGAAGAGTCACTGACCTGAAATGTTAACTCTGATTTCTGTTCATAGATGCTGCCTGACATGCTGAGCTTTTCCAGCAATTTCTATTTTTGTTTCTGATTTACAGTGTCCACAGTTCTTTTTATTTAGCAAAGGCAGTCAGCTGTAAAGGTTCACTGCCTGGTCAGATAGCTGTGCAGGTTTACTGCACCGGGACCCACATGGTCCCTGCTTGGTGTCTCCTCTTCCTTTTTTAAAACTGCCATTGTTTTGATCGCTTCTTTTTTTCCCAAATTTCCAAAACAGTGCAACAGTAATTATTGCTCCAAGAATTCAAGGAAATCAACTCCAATGCTGAAAATACCTCAAAAGGAGCAGCTCTTACAGCCACAATTTTTTCCCGAATCCTTCCAGGGCACTCCAAATTTCTTAATGTCTTTCTGCCAAAAATCCTTGGTCTTGAATAGGCTGGGTGACAGTGTGTCCACAGCTCTCGGCATTAAAGAAATTCTTCCTTACCTGGAGACGTTGTTGAATAGAGAGACCTGGGTTCAGGTACATAGTTCCGTGAAAATTGCATCACAGTAGACAGGGTGGTTAAGAAAATGTGTGGCACGCTTGCCTTCATTGCTGAGACCAATGGTCTCAATGTGGATACAACCCAATGGTCTCAATGTGGACTTTACTAGCTTCAAAATCTCCCTACCCCCGGCCTCATCCCAAGATCAACCCTCCCTCTCATCCCCGCCTCCTTGACCTGTCCGTCTTCTCTCCCACCTATCCACCCCACCACTACCTACCTGCACTCACCTATCGCCATCCCACCTACCTTCCCCAGCCCCTCTTATCCCCACCTCCCTGACGTGTCTGTCTTCTCTCCCATCTATCCACTCCTCCCACCTCATTCACCAATCCCCACAAGTACTTACCTGCATTCACCTATCCCCAACCCACCTACCTTACCCAGCCCTACCACCCCCTTATTTATTTCAGAGCCCACTTCCCCTCCCCCATTTATGAAGAAGGGTCCCGACCCGAAACGTCAGCTTTCCTGCTCCTCTGATGCTACCTGGCCTGCTGTGTTCCTCCAGCTCCACGCTGTGTTACGTTATTTCCATGCATTTGCATCTCATGATTAGCTAATCTTTCCATGCAGCTCTCAGTTCTCCCCTCCTTATTCTGAGAAACTAGACAGTACTAGTTTCAGACATGAAGGTCAGAGTGGTTACTTCGTGTTTCTTGCTTGTCGAAAGGGCAATGTCCCTGCATATTCCATGGACACTGTTTTCCTTGATGGTCCTCAGCATCTGCAAATGTCCATCTTTATCACAGCATGAGGCCCGCTCTCGGTCCAAACCTTGCATTACTTCATCCTTTTAGGATTTCGCTTTGAGCTCATGGGCATCTATGATTTGCATACTTCTGCCAGGTTGCTTTAAGTACAGAGACACAAGTGTGCAGCTCCACAGCATAAATCTTACAGCTCTTAGCTTCATTCTTTGTGCTTCCTTGCTTTGCACTTCCTTAGATCCAATTAGCCTTTTTTTAGCTTGCTTTGCTGTTGAATGCTGAAGATGCAAGTGACTTGTCACAGTAGGGAGTGTCCAACAGGCAACGGGGTGGATATGTTTCTGTACAGTAGTGTGCTACATTTAATGTTACACCGACAGCATGTACTAGCCGCTTGTGTGACACACTGTGTGTACTTCAACCAAATGGGACAGTTCTTGGTGTGGTGTAGGGCGACTATTGTCATTCGGGGGGTACTACCATTGTCTGTGGAGAAGGGAAGGGGCTGCCACAATCTGATTCCACCAACAAAAAACCATTTTGACGTGATGGGGTAGGGTATTTGCTGATATAATTGAAGGTTCATAACTATTCAGGTTGGTGAATAAGAGAAAGGAATTCTTAGAACTGTTGCTGTTTAAGCTCTTTGAATTTTCTATGAATTTGACCCTGCAACCGCAAAGGAATGCAATTATATATTGAAGTTAAGGAGAAGCTGTTGTCAGTGGCGTTCTCGGGAACCTTCTGACCTAGTCCTTTTGGGTGATGCAATATTCAGTGTAAGATAAAATTCAGGTTTTCACTGAACTTGGAGTAAACTGACCCTGATTACAATCTGTTGAACTCCAGAAAATATTTGTGGATTCCAGTATTAGTAAAGAGTTCTATAACAATTAAAGAATCTATGAGTCAACTTAAGGAAGAGAAAAGAAAACAATGCACTTTTTTTTATCAGTTTTGAAAGTTGTGGAGGTGTGTTTGAAGAGGACTGATTTGTGAACACACTCTTAGTATCTGTATTTTCAACTTGTCACTGAATGTTTAATGAAACAGGATTATCAAGGGTGTCTGGATCAGATAAGTTAAAAGAAAATCACAATCGACAAATCTGTCTACTTTTTAAGACGCAGCATACCAGTGATTAGGTTAATGGAGTATATAGGCTCTCAGAAGGCACTTAATGTGGTTTATGGCTATTCAGAATTGTAACCATTTCGATTGCAGTTCAATGATGTATTTCATGTTGATTTGTACTCTCAGATCGGAACTCCACAATCACTGAGTTCTTGGAAAAGTGTGAGGATTACCAGCTATTCCAGTTCACAAAATTCTTCTGGGACAGTCTAGAGCAAGCGATGGAAGATGGTGTGGATGGACTCAGTTCATTGTTAACATACAAGAGGATTTTCAACGGACAGGAGCATCAGGTAAGTGGGATAGATAGGGAAAGTGTTGAAACATTAGGAAACTGACAAAATAATAACAAATAAATTGCTGGATGAAGAAAAGAGCTGATTGTTTATCTGGATTGTTGCCTAACAACCTGGCTGCCCTATGCTGTGATAGTATTGGATGTTATCAACTAGTCAGTTGATCCACAGCCACATATGAAGTCAGGAAAATCCAGTGGCCTAGAGCTTTCAGAATGACTAATATAGAGTCTTCTATATTGCAATCACAGTGGAGACTAATAACCCTTTAAAAAGAAACAAAATCCAAAATCCCAGATATTTACTAAAATAATGAAGCCACAAGGTTTAAACAGAAGAATTTTTCTATGCAAAAGTAAAACAACACAAACATCAATAAAATCTTGAGTAATATTTTAGAAATTAATTGGATGTGGGCATCACTGGTTGGGCCAGCATTTACTCCCTGTCCCAATTCGTCCCTCTAAGGTGGTTGTCAGCTGTCATCTTCAATCACCGTCCATGTGCAGGAGGTAAACCCACAATGTAGTTGGGAGGGGTTTTCAGTTTTAAAGAAAGGCGATATATTTCTAAGTTAGGGTGATGTGTGATCATGGATTAACCCCATACTTGGAAAATGCAGAACCAGCACAAATTAAACATGAGTTAACTATTATAACCAGTTATAAACATTATACACTAAATGGCAAGTACAGCTAAGGCAGACCTTTAAGAATTGCCTCGGCAGTCCACATCATGTGGTATCAATTGCCATCAAATTACTTCAAAACTCCATTTTCCTCTCAAAACATTTCAGCCCCTTTCCCTGAGGAATAAGCCTGATTACTAGCTGACAGTAGCACACAACTAACCCAAGTTCCACTGGCATGGTTCTCATTAAAAATGGCACAGTACCTTAAAGAACCTCTCAACTCTGTCCAAATGGTGTGCGTTCATCAATGTCACAATCAAGTAACAGGAACGACTGCATAATCACTGAATTTTAGACCTTTACAGTGCAGAAGAAGGTCATTTGACATATTGGGTAGCTCTTTCAGGAGATACAGTCCTAAATCTGTAGCCTTCTAAATTCATCATTTTCAAATACATTTCCAGCTCTTTTGAAACCTCCTATGGAATCCGCTTCCACCACTCTCCCAGGCAGCACATTCTAAATCCTAACAACTTTCTTCGGGTCTCTTTTCTTATTCTCAGCTTTTAGATCTTGTCTGTGGCTCCAGTTTTCTTAAATACCTCAAACGGGCTTGTTAACATCTGAGATTGGAGTGCTTTCGGCCCTTTTACCATTTTCAGTCTCCCTAGAGATTTTGTTTCCAATTGCAGCTGCAGTTTTGATTTTGTTAAAAACTCGGAGGGTTCAGTTTCTTTTCTTAGTTTCTCTTTTCAATTTCTCTTTTCAGTTAGGGTCAGTCTCAAAAACAAGCTTCAAAACCACATGCTCCACCACATTTCTCCTGTTGAAACAAAAATAACCATTTACCATAGTCAAAGTTTATTTAAACTGGTTATAAATGTGGTAGGTTTTTAATACTATAAACATTTTAAATTTGCTTATTGATAATGATGGTTGCCCTTCAAGCTCAAATAAGAAGATAATGTCCACACTGATAATGAACATAGAGGTGATACTGTACTAAAGGGGAGGCGATGGCATAGTGGTATTATCACTGCACTGTTAATCCAGGGACCCAGATAATGTGCTGCGGACCCAGGTTCGAATCCCGCCATGGCAGATGGTAGAATTTGAATTCAAAGAATATCTGGAAGTAAGAGTCTGATGATGACCATGAATCCATTGCCGATTGTTGGAAAGACCCATCTAGTTCACTAATGTCCTTTAGGGAAGGAAGCTGCCATCCTTACCTGGTCTGGCCTACATGTGACTCCCAGACACGCACCAATGTGGTTGACTCTTAACTGCCCTCTGGGATGGGCAATAAATGCAGGTCTGGCTAGCAGTGCCCTCATCCCATGAATGAATAAAGAAAAAAATACACCAGTTTGGAGACAGTCAGAAATATTTAGGGCATTGGAACAAGCATGTTGGATATGGAAAGATGGTGTTCACAGTCAGCGTTATCATTTTTCAAAAATGAAGAAGGCTGTACAATGAGAGATCTACAGCGACTTCATGTTACCCTTGAGTATGACTCTGTACTGCTTACACACCCAATCTTCATTTGACAAGATATTCACTTTCCATGTAGCAACTGTCTCAGAATGTAATGGTCCTCCATTCTAGTTGTGGGAATCCCCAATTTATGAATGCTTGTACTTAGTAACGCATTCTCATTTAGGGGTGTAATTTTAAAGACTCAACATAGGGACATTTCCTGTACTTATGAACCACTCCTTCTCTGTTGTCTTGCACTCAGACTTGTGTCCAAATGGACTCCAGAACTGAACTCATTCCCAAGAGACAATTAGCCTGGAGTCCCAAGGATTTGACAGGAATAGGCCTTGGTTCTAGAGGATTCAAACGCATCAAGATGGGATCCCAGAGGATTAGGCCTGAGTCCCAGAGGATTTGGTGCAAGAGGATTAGCCTGGGGTCGTGGAGGTCTCCGAAGGATTTGCTGGGGTCCCAGAGGATTCGAGAGGGTAAGCTTAGGTGTCCAAGAGAATTAGCCTGGCTTCCCAGGTGATTTGGGAGGTTTTGCCAGGCCTCCCAGAGGATTTGAGAGGATCAATCTGGTGTTCCAGTGGATTGAACAGGACTTGAAAATGGTCCCAGAGGATTTGATGATTTGCTGTGAACCCAGACGATGAGCTTGGGTCCCAGGGGATGCAAGAGGGTTAACCTTGGATCCCGGGGTCTTCGAAGGATTCGCTGGGATCCAGCAAGATTCAAGAGGATATGGTCCCAGAGGATTCAAGAGAATGCGGGAGGCTGAGCCTGGGGCCCCACATTGCACAGTCAATGACGTTATCCTCCCTTTTTATTACTCTCAAACTACATATCATTTCACGAAACTCTCATGATCTGAAATTTGATCACTGATTGTACTAAAATGTTTAGGCTAATCCATTGATTGTGATAAATTTGTTTAGAAACTTGAATAGAAAAATAAAAGTGAAAGCTCACATGTATTGACAGCTTGAGTGTGGCAGAGATATTGAGGAGGGAGTGTATGTGAACTTGGGCTGCATAAATGGAGACACTGAGTCCAAAATTAGGGAGGTTTGGGTGCTTATTTGTAAGGTCCTAATTAGGACTGTTCAGACAATGTCTATCAATCCGTTGCATTGATTGTTCTCAGTTGCCAGCAGGCCACTAGTGGTTAGCAAGCCCTGTGTTTGCAATCCTCAAGAGTATCTGGGCCATTAGATGTGATTCAGTCCTGAAAATCGTATATTAAACAATCTGGACTGTGCTGAAACTGGAAACCAATTTAAAATCATTCGTGAGACCCACAGTGTGCTGCATTTGTGTATGCTGGAAGCTACATACATAACTACTGAGTACTGACGGCAAAAGGAATTTGTAAATACATTTGGACCTTTTTGAAAAAAGATCCAACAGGCAAAACCTAGTGATGTCCTATCCAATCAGATTCTGCCTGCCTGGTCTGAGAATTAAGTTTAATGGTATCTCCATGCAAATGGCTCAACCAATCATCTTTTCATGCTGTTTTAGATTGATGTCTTTTTCTTGACTCCTAATTCTGATGAATACGTAAGCAAGACTTCAACTTTTGGACCCCTTTTAGTAATGTATAGTTAGACAGAGACCCAGGGTGACCTTACAGAGGTTCATAAAATTTTTGGGGGCATGAATAAAATGAATAGCCAAGTTGTTTTTCCCAGGGTGGGGGAGTCCAAAACCACAGGTTTGAGGTGGGAGGGGAAAGATTTTAAAAAGGATCTGAGAAGTAACTTCTTCACACAGAGTGGTATGTGTCTGGAAAGAGCTGCCAGACGAACTGGTGGAGGTGAGTACAATTAAAACATTTAAAAGGAATCTGGATTGGCATATCAGTAGGAAGGGTTTAGAGGGATATGGGCCAAATGCTGGCAAATGGGACTAGGCCAGATTGGAATGTGTGGTAGGCATGAACGATTTGGGCTGAAGGGTCAGTTCTGTGCTGTATGACTCTGATTCCAGTTTGAGGTGATCAATAACTAGCACTAATTTGATGCCAATTGGTCAGCACAGGCCTGGTGCATTTGAAAGCAGACTGCTTCAGTATCTGAGGAATCTCCAGTAGTATTGAACATTGTCTAATCATCAACAACCGTTCCCACTTATCGCTTTATCATGGAGGGAAGGTCAGTAATGAAGCGGCTTTAGACAGTTGGCCAAGGACTCGCCTCTGAGGAGTTCGAAAGGCTGCCCGTACCTCAATTAGTGACTGCCACTTCCTCTCTGGAGTTCAGCTCTTCAATCCATGTTTGAACCAAGACTGTAATGAGATTTAACCTGTTTTATACGCACACTGGGACAATTTTCCATTATTATCAGGTAGATGTCAATATTGCCATTGTACTAGAACATCCCATTTGTATTTGGTTATACTCTGTTATTCTTTTAAAATTATCTATTTTGTTGGATTTCTAGAGTAATACACTCGTACAGCATTGAAACAGACCCTTCGGTCCAACTGTTTTGCACCAACCAGACATCCCAATCTGACCTAGTCCCATTTTGCCTGCATTTGGTTCATATCCCTGTGAACCCTTCCAACTCAAATGCCAATCTAGATCCCTTTTTAAATGTTGCAATTGCACCGGCCTCCACCGCTTCCTCTGGCAGATCATTCCCTACATGCACCACCCTTGGCATAAAAAAGTTACCCCTCAGGTTGTTTTCAAATCTTTCCCCTCTCACCTTAAACCTCCTGTGCTCTAGTTTTGGACTCCCCAAGGAAAAAGACCTCGGCTATTCACCCTATCCATGCCCCTCATGATTTTACAAACTTCTATATAATCAAACACTGCAGTAATCTCTCCAAGTTTGACAGCAGCTAACCCAATGAAGACCACAAATTGAAGCAGAGAGCTTCACAGAATGCATGACCCAGGATAAGAACCAATAATGGATTTATCCACTAAGTTAATGTGCACAGCATCTAAGTCAGTTTCAATTAGCACCTGCCAGCAAGTGTCACTTGGCAGTAACCATATATTTTATACACATATGGTAGCGATGAACGCTGGGCTATTAAAGTAAACCTGCACCCTCCGGACTCAATATCGAGTTCGGACCTAAACTCTCCCATGGTCCTAACCCCCGACTCCACACACCAGGCCTTGTTATCACATGGCCTGCCACTACACACTAACTATTGTCAGTCACTAACAGCCCCCATTAACAACTATTCACCCACCTAACCAGATCATTATCAACTCCTTTATCTATCCAACTGCTGTTCTCTCTCTCTTCGGGCTCTATCCTATCATTTACATCCCCCTGCCTGTTTTCTGCATATAAACCAACATTTTCCCAGCTACCATCTGTTCTGAGGAATGATCACCAGACCTGAAACGTTAACTCTGATTTTTTTTTTTCTCCACAGATACTGCAGACCTGCTAAGCTTTTCGAGCAACTTCCGTTTTTGTTCCTGACTTGCAGCATCCGCAGTTCTTTCAGTTTTTTATTTAGTAATTAATTCACTGCCACGTCCCTTCTGGGCATGCCCACCTTGAAGTTCTGCTCTTCTCTCTGATGGGATTTCTGTTCCAATCTTTCTTCTTGTCCGCCGGCATTAATTTCACAGTCATTCCTGGTGTTTGACGAGGTGTTTGCTAAAACTAGTTTCCACAGCCATATATCACATTCCTCGGTGACTGCCTCTGGCTCAGACTCACCCCACGTGGATTCTAACTGAAGTTTCATCCCTGATGTCTTGAATTCTCCCAGGATCACAGATATATCCGTGGTGTTCAACATTCCATGGACAGCTGTTCTCGCCGCATCCTGAGATCCACACTCAGTGCCATGCAGCATCACATGCACACTCTCGACCTTTCTCTCCAACAGCATCGCATCACACTGTTAGGGTTGCACCACTGCGCAGTTCCGTTTCATCCTCCGGCTCATTCGTCATGCTAACAAGAAACTTTTTCTTTTCCTTTTTGGCATCAAGGCCCACAAGATGCAACAACTCAAAGATACCTGTGGCCCTCTGGAACCTTCCTGTCCTCTCCTTCCCTCTGATTCCATCCCCTCTCTCAACCCCACTTCCTGTTGGATATTCACCATCCCTCCTCAGCAAAGACCTCAGCTTTATTCCTCTGTGTCCCCACCGTAACGAATTTCGGACATGACATGACGTCGAACTCTTCTTCTGCCGTCTCCGCCTCCGTGCCCATTTCTTTGGGCAAGAGTCCTGTTCTCGTCCAACAGACCCCTTTGCCCGGTTCCAATACTCTCCCTCCACCTCGACGACTTCCTCTGGCCTTTTACCTGCACTCTATCAGTTCATTTGAGAACTGTCAACATAATATTGATCGCCTCAATTTCTCTGCCCCACCCCCTCAATAAATCCAACCTATCTCCCTCCAAACTGACTGCACTCTGTGTACTTGGATCTAATTAAGCGAGCCAATAAGGGTGGTGCTGTTGTAGTCTGGCATACTGACCTCTACATTGCAGAGGCTGAGCGCCAACACTCCGATACCTCCTCCTATCTTCTCCTGGACCATGACCGCACCATGATGCATCAGGCCATTGTATCTACTATGGTATCTGATCTCATTTCATCTGGTGAACCCCCCACCCTCCCCAGCTGCCTCCAAGCTGATAGTCCCCTAACCCTACACAGCTCGCTTCTACCTCCTTCCAAAAATCCATAAACAGGACTGCCTGGGTAGACCTATTGTTTCAACCTGCTCCTGCCCCACAGAACTCATCTGTTCCTACCTTGACTCGGTCTTCTCTCCCCGGTCCAATCTCTACCCACATACATCCGTGATTCCTCTGACGTTTTACGCTGGTTTCAAAATTTCCAGTTTGCAGGTTCCAGCCACTGCCTCTTTATCATGGATGCGCAATCCCTTTACACGTCCATTCCCCACCAGGAGGGTCTTAGGGCTCTTTGCTTCTTCCTAGAGCAAAGACCTGAACTGTCCCCACCCACCACAATTCTCCTCCACTTAGCCAAGCTCATCGTCACCCTCAACAATGTCTCTTTTAACACCTCTCATTTTCTTCAGGTCAGAGGGGTGGCCATAGGTACCCGCCTGGGCCCCAAGTTATGCCTGTCTCTTCGTGGGGTACATGGAACATTCCTTGTTCCAGTCCTATTCTGGCCCTACCCACAACTCTTTCTCCGATTGTATCGATGATATCATCGGTGCTGCTTCCCTCTCTCATCCAGAATTGGAAAAATTTATCGATTTCGTTTCCAATTTCCACCCTGCCCGCACTTTCACTTGGTCTGTCTCTGACTCCTCCCTTCCCTTCCTCAACATCTCTGTTTCTATTTCTGGGGATAGACTGGCCACTAATATCCACTGTAAACCCACTGACTCCCACAGCTATCTGGACTATGCATCCTCGTAGCCTGCTTCCTGTAAAGACTCCATCCCATTGTCTCAGTCCTCCGTCTCCGTTGCATATGTTCAGACGAGCCTAACTTCGACAAAGGAGCCTCCGCAA